CGAACTATATACGAACTTATGCAGGCTCTGAAACTACTAAGGTCTCGTCTAAGGAATGCGAACAGAGTTCTTCTGAGGAAAAGCCGACGAATGGAAGAGCGGAGAAGATAAAAGACTCTGTGTTTACAGCCTGTCATGTGACTATCAAAGTGAGACCGGCTTGCTGATGATCAATTTTTTCATAATATTTATGCTGAGTACACTGTTTTTTAATTATTTTTTATTCCAGGAAGTTTTTTTTTTGCTTTACGCCTTTTGATAGTATGACTATTAACTTTATTAAGGTTCAATATAGTCCAATTCTTCTCAATTCTTCGACAACAACACTCATTGTTGTCACTTCATCGTTTTAATATATTCAAGCAGAACCCCGAGTTCACGCAGCTATGCGTCTAGTTAATTTAATAATAAAACTGAATGCCTTTGCAATACGAAATCGAACGCTACTCGAGCTACTCCTAACAAAGAAGGTTGCAGAACGAAACAAATGTTTACTGTACAATTTTCCCGCACTTGTTATTTGTACCACGTGCAGTTACCGGAACCCATGGAAGTACTCCTAGCTTGTATACCTTATTCCAGTTACTCATTCTACCTTGTTTCCAGCCACTACTAGCTAATGACAATCAAAGTTTTAGATACGATAATTTAATATAGAATTAATTTGGAATGCCATGGAATGGAATAGAAAGGAATGCCATGAATAGCATACAAAGACAATTTGAATAGTGTTTCAGTGTACAAACTTCGACGAGAATATCTGACATTTTCAAACCTATCAGCCGACTAGCTGCCTAAAGTGTATTTTCATTCTCAGCATTTTTCTAGAGCATCTCAATATATATCTCAATTCTKCGGCCTTTATATCAGTATCTATACAATATTCTTAGTTATCCCGGCTTTGTTCTGGGTCCGCCACAGTCCAGAACTGGACCCTCTTTTCTCAATTACTAGAATATCACAAGTAAAGTTAAAAAAAAATCCAAAGCGCGCGCTCAAGAAAATTATCGTGACTGTTGTATTTATTTATTGTTGTTATATTGAGAACGTTGTTGTACAGCCTTTTGCAAAAATTATGAGAATTGTCTAAATATCTAAATATCATAATATCCATATCCATATATTGTCCGGAACACGAGGGTTTACTAGAATAATTCATTGTTGACATCGAGAAAATGTTCAGAACTACGGATAAGTCTGTCGCCCAAAAAAACTAAACTACAAAGACAAGGGACTAAGGGCATCGCGCGGGATTACCCATCATGCACTCGATATTATGATATTTAGATATTTCAACAATTACAGCCTTTTGCAAAAATTATGAGAATTGTTGAAATATCTAAATATCATAATATCAAGTGCATGATAGGTAATCCCGGGCGATGCCCTTWGTCCCTTGTCTTTKTAGYTTAGTTTTTTTTGGCGACAGACTTATCCGTAGTTCTGAACATTTTCTCGATGTCAACAATGAATTATTCTAGCAAACCCGCGTGTTCCGGACAATTATATATGGATATGGATATTATGATATTTAGATATTTAGACAATTCTCATAATTTTTGCAAAAGGCTGTATCATAATTTTTGCAAAAGGCTGTATTTATTTATTGTTGTTATATTGAGAACGTTGATTCAAATAATAGTTTTCAACTCCGCGCGCGCAACGATAAAGGAGGGTCCAGTTCTGGACTAGGTCCGCCACAGGTAGCCTAAACTCAGCACTTAACGGCTTTTCTCCCAAGGTCTTTTAGAGAAAAACGAAAAATTCAATAAAAGTCGGAAATCTCAATAAAACGTATTCAAACTCACACAATATGTTGTTCTTAATTTATTTCACATCTATGCGAAGTGTCATCTCTCTACAATGAAATAAACTGCCTTTTTTCTTAATGTTGGTACCGTAGATAATACTTTTAATTCATTTAAAAATGAATTAAGAACAACATATTATGGGTCCGGCACCGAGACATGTTTGTCTTCATTTTGTTAGGAGCGTTCTTATCAACTACAAAGAAAAGCACAGATTTTTGACTTGCGTCTTTATTAGGATTCAGCGACAGCTAATATTAATAAATACATCTACTATCAGTCTTAAAGACAATGATTAGCCTCTATACAGAAGCGGGTTTTCAAGTCATGGACTTATTAATTCATACTACAAATAACAAAGTAAGCAAATGATTTAAGTATATAGGATGAATTGAGATAAATATGATTAATGTGGTAATTGTTCTATTGGTTCATCGTTAGACCTGAAAGAGAGAACAACATTAAGACGCAATTTTGGAAATTGTGGCCAAGGTTATTATATTGACACACTGTAAGTACTAATTATAGTGGAGTGGACGCACTTTAAATCCGTGAAACAAAAACTTGTACTAATTACTAAGTGATGATAGAAAACAAACGAATTAGGACAATTTTGTACTGGTTTCTAGAGTTTAAGTGAGGATTAAGTGCATCGACTCCTTTGTATTCTATGGTATAATTAACACTACTTTGTACTGTTTAATAAATACTATTTCACGCACTAAAAGTACTAGAGTGAAGTCATTAAATCGTTAAACAAAATTTGACTATTAATTAAACAGTTCAGTAGTTGAACCGATAGTTGCCCGCGGAAACTCAGGAATGAGAAAGCAGTTGGAAGGCAAGGGACATCCAGTTTTCAACTCTATTTCCCTTTCTTCCATTTGAGTAAAGTTATTGAACTAATAAATAGTATTAATTTCATCACAGGTTTTGGASTAGGAGATTGTACCTTTATAGCTTAGGTGGTCTTTGATTTTGTGGGTTGCGGTTTATCCTTCTTTTTGGAGATACTCACACCTAAAGGGGAAAAAGAAATATGTTCACACATATTATAAACAGTCGAACTTCGCGATCACCCTCCCTCCCTTAAGTAATCACTCATGAATTCCGAAAAAATCAGATTCTCATATTTTTTTACAGTAAACGTGTCCCCCATTAAACGGTCAATTTCTATTAACCGGTCACCTGGTCTTCCCTCAAGATGGCCGCTTTATAGAGGTTTGACTGTATTTAAAAAAAAACAACAACAAAAACAGAAGAATAGTCTCCTTCACAGTTACCTGCGCCATCTTGAAAGGTAGCCGTGCCTTTGCATCGAAGCGAGACGACCGTTGAGCGTGCAATGATAGATACCTGTCTGTAGGTGTGAAAGAAGGTTTCTATCATTAGACGCTCAACGGTCGTCTCGCTTCGATGCAAAGGCACGGCTACCTTTCAAGATGGCGCAGGTAACTGTGAAGGAGACTATTCAGCCCAGTCAACCAACTCAGCCTGCCTCATATAAATAAGGCCTTAACAAACAGAATGGAAAAATTAGAAATAAAAACAAAACAACGCCAAAACAAAACATAAGCGGCACTCATCATATAATTTCTTGAAATTCTCTTATAATATCCAATCTAAACGGCCGCCGCTTAATAAAGCTTCAAATGTATGTCCACTATGAATATTGTAGCCCAATGTATCAACAGGCCAAGTATAGTTAGGAAAACTCACCGGATGTCATAATGTCAACTATCTGCTGATCAGTTAGAGCGCTTTCCCACAATGCAACATTGTGCACCTCAAGTCCAAGTCTGTATTTGTTGGTGTTAGAGTTGTTAGGTCTTCCCATCGTCAAGGTAGTAAACTCATCCTTACTACGCAAGACATTTGTAGGTTTACCATTAGCCACCATTTTACCATTGACATACAACTTGAGATCACCATCATTCTTCCAAGTAAACGCCAGTTTGAACCAATCAGTGGGCATAGTTGGCGTTTTGACCATCCACTGCTTGCCTTCAGTTCCCAAGATCAATACATATTGATTGTTGATGTGAACCAATGCAAAGCCACGTGCTCTAGTGGTTTGACCACCAGATGACATAATGTATGAACTAGATGTCTTAGACAGCGTTGATTGGTCGAGCTTGAGTGACGTCATAATGGTCAGTCCTTTGCCTTTGCATTTGCTTGGATCACTGAAGCACTTGCCTGAATATAATAAACATGCGGTCAATAGTCGAGTTTCGCGATCTCTTTTACGCTGTGTTAGCCTCAATTGTGTGCTAAAATATTCAGAAATGTATATAAAACTCGTGAGATTTCAAACTATTTCCATTGTCTTCTATACTCACAGATCTCTTGCATTTGCACGAGCTGTTGTGAATAAATAGAGGATATTACATGGCCGCGCGGAGATACGGATTTTATCTTCGAGTGTTGAAAAGATTTCTCACGAGTGAGCGTAGCGAACGAGTGAGAGATTTTCAACACGAGAAGATAAAATTTGTATCTCCAAGCGACCATGTAATATTCTGTTTATCATATAATTAGATATGAAAGCAAATTATGTCGTAAAATACCTTTTTTCTTACTTCCACTATATAGAGAAACCTCGAAACCTCGAACTAGTGAAAATATCAATTTTACGTAATGGAGAAATATAGGTATTTCATAGATAATTACATGATAAAAGAACTTATTACATGGTTTTGAGGCTAACACAGCACTTTATGCATACATTTAGCCAAATAAAGCAATTTTTTTGGAATTACGGCTGACAACAAATTGGATCATTTCTTTTATGGTTTGTAACAGGTATAATAATATTCATGAAAAAATTGCTAGCTTTGATAGTAAGACAAGTGAAATGATTGTTTGTCAAGAAGAAAATAAAAAGACTTAGTATGCATTGATGATATTTTGCTTACATGTTGTTTTTATCGTTGGCTCCTTGTCTAGCCTTGTCAGTTTTGGCTTCAATTTTTTTCATGTATATTATTAATAGGTAATAAGATGGTTTCTCGTTCAATTTGGATTAATTTGCACTCGTTTGTTTTTCAAAGAGCCAAATTGCGTTCGGCCTCACGCAATTATGGCCTCTTTGAAAAACAAACTCGTCCAAATAAATTCCAAATTGAACTCGAAACCATCGTATTACCTATACTAATCCAGTCACTTTCCGATGACGACAGAATCATTTTAAGTATACCTTTGAAATCCCCAAGTGATAGCGACGCCTTATCAGACGTTTTTGTATCAACAACTCTACCCTTTCCATGACTAACTACAATATTAGCACCATTCTCAAGCACTGCTTTCTGATCGTGTATTATGTCTGATGTGGGCTCCGCTCCTTCGAACGACCAGTAGTAGTCCGGTGTGTGGGTACCTTTAACTGTTGACAAAATACGAAGGGACAATGAGCAATTAGATGTAAACATATGTTTCGCCCCATGTAAGAGGAGCCAGGAATCTGGAATTCAGTGAAAAAAAGGTTTGGAATCCGGAATCCGTAACCTGGAATCCGGAATCCAAATATTTGGAATCCAGAATCCAGCAGAAACTTTGAAATCCAAAAAACACACTCTTTGGAATCCGGAAGCCAATGTTTCGGAATCCGGAACCCTCTAGTTCTCTGGATTATTTTACATGGGGCGAAACATAACTTCTAATCTAGGAAGGGTAGGTCACCATAACGCATACACACTCCATATCATCTCGATTAGAAAAAATACTATTGCACTAGGCTACCTTTCTATTGTAATGAGCCATCTAATTGACTATCAAATCAATAGTAATATTTACCCGTCTTGATGTTGTCTTTAGATATTGTGCGTCTCTTCTGTAAGTCATCCAATTCTTTTGAAGGAGGATCTATAGTGTTGTCCTGGCTATTGATAGGGGGATCAATGGATTGTTTAGATGCTTCATCAGGTACGTCACCACTGGATGCTTCACCACTGTAATCTAAACAGTTATGAATGCATTAAATATTTGTCGAGATATTGTATCAGATAGATTACACGGATGAAGTTGGTTTAAAAAAGATTTATGTTGATGAACATTTCCTGTTCATTTTATTCAAGATTAAGTGAAACATTTACCATTTCCTAGGTCAATGGAGTTTGCTAAACGTTCGATAGAGCCCCTCTTTTTGCCTAAAACAGAAATTTAGAAAAACAAATGAATGGATGCTAGAAAAAATACAGACAACTCCAGTGAGAAAGGTTTTTTGGAAAAAATAGGAGGACGATATTGAAAGACTCTTTTACCTCTCCTTCGTCTACGTCTTCGCCTACGTCTTCCCCTACGTCCTCGCCTACGTCTTCGCCTACGTCTTCTCCTACGTCTTCGCCTTCTGCGTTCTCTCCGTCTTTTTGCTCTTAATCTCCTCTGACGCCTGAGCCTCGCCATCTTTTGTCGATGTTGTCGTAGACGTTTTTGCTTCAGCATCCTTAATCGCCGTAGATGCCTGAGCCTCGCCATCCTTTGTCGATGTTTTCGTAGACGCCTGAGCCTCTCCATCCTTTGTCGATGTTTTCGTAGACGCCTGAGCCTCGCCATCCTTTGTCGATGTTTTCGTAGACGCCTGAGCCTCTCCATCCTTTGTCGATGTTTTCGTAGACGCCTGAGCCTC